GTATCCATTTTGCACAGGGAACCATGGGGGGCGTTTCTGCCAGAGGAGCAGAGCAAGGGTAAATTCACTCATATGGGAAATTGTCATTCTGTCCTCATCAAGCATAGCCTGTCATGGATTGTGAGTTAGGAGACAAGTCAACTCTGAATGTGGACAGACTCAGTAAGATTTCATTAGGAGGACAGTGACCATCCACCCTGTGGTTCTCCATGGGAGGTTGCACCGTCCCGCCCGCCCCCCACCACCAAGGCACAGGTGGAATGGTGGGGGAGGGAGCCTTTGGGTTGTCATGACATTTTATGACACTGGTTTGCTCTCAGTTATATATTTTCCTTCCCAAATGAGTTGTGCTTCCTGTCTCATTTCAGTTAGGGCTCTTGGTTGGGAGCAAGAGAAAACAACACTATTGTAAGGCTGCCAGGCGCCCACAGAATTGGCAGGAGGTAAAGACCAGAAAACAGGCAGAACCAGGGCAGATCCAGAAGGCAGAAGCAGGAGGTCCCAGGCCAGTCCTTCAGCCGAGACAGTTTGGCTAAGAGGATGCCACCGCCCCTGCACTGCACATCTGCCTCCAGGGCTGGTTCACAGATGCGCCTTAACCATCTCTTCCTCTGAGACTCACACACACCCAATTCAGAGCCGGGGCCTGAGCAGCTGACTGGCCAAGCTCGGGTCACATGCTCACACCTGGTCACCAGGGCATGAGCCAGGAAGAGGAGGACATGGTCCTCTGGCTGCAGAGAAGGCTGCACAGCCTGCCTGCTGCTCTGCACAAAATGGGGAGCTCCCTCTACACAGGAGAGGAGAAGGGATTGGATATGGCAAACAGACAGACAGTTCAACAAAAGACAAATAACAGCAAGCATCCACTGTGCTCTTTCATATTCCTTCTCCAGAGCATGCCGTGTCAGTCAGTTACGAATGTCAGAAACCCTACGCAAAGTAGCTGAAGCATAAAAGGCGGAAGGTATATGCTGTGTAATCCAGGCAGGGCGGTGGCTTTCCACAGGGCCCAGCTGCCGGCCTCCAGCTCCTTGCCGCTGGGCTCTGACGGCCAGGTTGCCACACTGTCTGCTTGGCTTGGCTTGGCTCGCCAGGTGGACCCTTTCCCCATATGTGGTGAGCACGGTGGCCCCAGCGGCCCCGGCCAGCTCAGAGCAAGGCTGGCCTCTGGGTGGTTCTGGCACCAAAACTTCATCCAATGTCTCCCCACACCCCAGGAGAAAGGGAACCCCAGGGATGGGCTCCCATGGGAAAGGGGGTGCACTTTCCAGAAGAGGGAGGAAGCTGCTGGATGGAAATGACCTCATCCTGCACTGGATCCCAAGGAGGCCCTCGTGCTAGGTCTGTCACACCAGACTGTCCCCTCCAACTCCAGCACACAGTTCTAGGATTTGGCATGAGCTGCGGCTGTTCCTGTCTTTGTCCCACTGCAGGCCCAGAGCCTGCACACCTATGTCTGGACACTTGTGGTCAGGGCAGACAGGGTGGGTGGCATCTGTGGGGACAGGAGGGGAGGTACCATCCTAGGAAGGCTGGGTCTCTTTTTCCACCTCTCTAAGCCCATCCAAGCTGGCTCAGATTTGAGTAAGGACAGGTCGCTGTGAGTGGGAGGAAATCTGTTTTATTGGCTTATTCATTCCACGGCATTTAAAGAAAGCAGCGTTGTGCTAAGTACTGGAGGGCCCAGCATGAAAGGCTTGGTTCTCGCCCTGAGGTTGAGAGTCTGGTAGAGGCGACCATCGACAAAGACCTGGGTGTAAGTGCTGCAGCTTAAGGGGCAGTAAGCCCAGTGGTTAGGGGCCAGATCAGAGACAGACTGCAGAGGTTCAAATCCCAGCTTCACCACTTACAAGCTCTGTGGCCTCAGGCAAGGTACCGAACCTGTCTGTGCCTCAGTCTCTTCATCTGTAAAATGGGGACGATGATACCCCAGATTCATAGGGCTGTTGTGAAGATCAAATGTGTTAATACATGTAAAGCGTTTAGCACCACCCCTCGTGTTGTGTGGTGTAAGCGTTAGCTAATGTTGCGATGATATAATTGTTTCTCCAATGTGCTCCGGTTGTCCTGGGTACACACAGCTCAGCCTGGGCAAATCAAGCAAAACTTCCTGCAGGAGAAAATCCCTGAGAACTAAGGCATAGAAGGGAGGCAAGGACTTTCTAGGCTGGAGGAAAGCTTGTGCCGAGTGAGGGCTGTGAGAGAGCATGGTGTTCGGCGGGACAGGAGTGCTGGGTCGGGGCTTGGAAAGATTGTGTCTTATGGAGAAGAAAGGAAAGGATTCTAGTAGAGAATGCTAGACTGGAAGAAACAGCAGGAGCACATGAGGAGAGAGGAGGTGCGGAGGGGATGGGTCAGCAGCGCCTGCATCTCCCCCTGCCCCTGGGAGCCCATCAAGGAAGTGGATTTGACAGTTTTCCAGGTGAACAGATTAGGTCATAATGAGACAAGGTGTTGGCTGAGCTGGCCCCACCTGGCTCCTCCAGCAGCCAGAGGAATTAGCTCATGGTTGGCGAAGGCTCCTTCAAGGAGCCGCTGTGGGCCAGGGAGCCAGGGAGCGTGTTGGAACAGCAGTCCCTGTGTGTGGCATGGGTCCTCGGCGCTGGCACACAGAGCTGCAGAAAGGCTGACACGCCTCCCAAGGGCTTGTCCCCACTGCTGCTGGGTGGCCCGCCGGGAGGGGCGTGCCTGGGCCTGGTGGGATTACAGGGTCTGATTTCGTTTTTCTAGACACCCTGGGTCCCAGGTCTGGCAGCGTCCTTTGGCTTCCTTCTCTGGCTCCTCCACCCCCAGGAATGACCCAGGTTACGTGTAAAGAAAGCCCGTTCCTCCGGGGGACTGGGCCCCAGGAGTCCTTGGTTTGTCAAGCAGGGAGACCTCCACTGCTTTTCCAGCCCAAGAAGCTGCCCGGTGCTGGCAGCTGTTCCCCGGCGCCCAGCCAGCACCTCTCTGCCAGCTCAGGCCGGGTCCAGCTCAGTGCCCAGTGAGCAGTGACAAGCTTTTCTGCTGTCACGTCCCTAGGCCTGTGTGGGTGACATTCCAGCTCAACTCCTGTGCCTAGTGGGAGGGAAGAAACCCCTTTCGGCTTCTTCAGGCACCAGGACACCCAGGGGGACAGTGCTCCCCAGACACTGACGACCAGGAAAACACATGCTGACTCAGCAGCTCCCCACGGCCTGGCTGTGCTGGGGGCAGTCCCGTTCCTGCCATCTACAGGTGACCATGTGCTCTAAAATGGTGACACCCTCACTCAGTCCTCTCCACGCTGCACACACGCTATTCAGGTGGGTACAGCTCTCTACAGTTTAAAGAGAGCTTTCACATGCAAGGTTCTATAGATCCTCAGCCATTCCACAGATTAGGAAACTGAGGCCACGAGGAGAGGACTGAGCCTGGATGCTCGGCTTGTCAGCAGTGCTGGGACCAGAAACCAGGCTTTTGGGGCCTGGCCTTGGTCTGCCATGCAAAGAGCACATGGTGGAGTCTCCCCCACACCCCGAGCTGTGGTCGGGGCATTTACAATGTGAGCAGAGAGGGAAGGGAGTGGGCATGGAATGGTTTCAGTAAGTGGAGCTGTTCTCTCCCTTCTGTGGCAGAACAGACTCCACTACGTTTTGAGACCTGAAAATCTGGGGGAGGTGGGATCAACTGACTTCATGTCGTTTGGTGTCCAGGGAAGGATGTGAGGGTGCAGGGATTGGCTCCGGCCACCCAGCAGGTCCGAGAGCGACAGGGCGACTGCTCAGTGCAGTTGGAGGGGCATGATCTGTGATGTGACGGTGACATAACTCTGATTGGTTACGTCGTCTTAATTTTAAACAGCGTGACTAGGGCTACATGACTGTGTCTAGGGCTTCCTGTAGAGTAGGCAGTGTGCTGAGAGCTCCCATTTGTAACCTTATTAAATCCCCTGAATGACCTCCGAGGTAGATGTTAGTATCGCCAGAACTGGCCTCAAGGTCGTGGGCAGTGGTACAGGGCCCCTCGCGTGGGTTCACGCTCTGCTGTCACTGTCTTGAAATTCTTAGAACCTTTTAAACAAGGAGCTCCGCATCTTCATTTCACATGGAGCCTTGCAAATTATGTAGTCATTCCCGTTGTTCTCATTTCTCAGAAGAGGACACAGAGGCCCAGAGTGGTCATGAAGCAATGTGCCAACGTCACAAAGCCAATGGCTGCCCTGGAGCTCTAACCCCAGAGCCCACACGCTCTGGAGTAGAAAGAGGCTGAGACAGAGTCAAATGACTGCGCCCAGGTCCAGCTGCTGGCACCTGCCTGTGACCAGGGGGTGAGGCGCTTCAGCTGCCCTAGCCTCGATTTCTCCTTGGTGAAATGGGGTGATCTCACCTGCCTCTGGGGGCTACTTTGGGGCTCACATGGGCCGATGTGCACACCATGTTTTCTGCACTTCACTAAGCTCAGCAGATCTGAGGACTAGCTGGTCACAGTTCACAGGGGCTGCCACCCCTGCCACCAGATAGTCCTGACATGGTCTATGCAGGCCTTCACCTGAGGTCAGGATTTCCAGACCAGCCTGGCCAACATGGTGAAACCTCGTCTGTACTAAAAATACAAAAAATTAGCCGGGCGTGGTGGCGGCTGCCTGTAACCCCAGCTACTTGGGAGGCTGAGGCAGGAGAATCACTTGAACCCAAGAGGCGGAGGTTGCAGTGAGCTGAGGTCATGCCATTGTACTCCAACCTGGGTGACAAGAGTGAAAACTCCGTCTCAAAAACAAAACAAAACAAAACAAAACAAAAACAAAAACAAACAAAAAAGACCGAAACCAATGATTGAAGTAAATTCCCTGCAATACAGTTACAGACTTGTAGCAGTTTCCTACCCAAGAGGAGCCCCTCACCCAGCAGCGGTCGCAGCAGTGGGACGCCCTGGGGGGGGAGGGGTGGGCCACCATGGCTGCTCACCCATGTTATCTGCTCACAGAACTCAGGGCGGGAGGGTGCTGCTCATCCGCCTGCAGTTGAATCCTCTCCAGGAAGCTTTGATGGATCTAATCAGAGCCCCCCTGCCAAGGAGAAGGAAGCCCTGTAGGTGCAGCTGCCCCAGACACGCTCAAAACAGATCCTGGCACCTCAGCAAAGAGGCAGACGGCGCCTGGGAGGGGCCTCAGAAAGCAGCTGATAAGTCTTTAGATTTGGACAGATTCTGACCGTGAAACTGCACAGAAGACTCCCATGAGTACATTTCGCGTTTGCAGACTTAGCGTGCTAAGTCTTCAGAGTGCCTGTGAATTTTAGTTCTGCCAATCTGCTAGAGCACAGGAGGTTGGTATTTATCACCCCCATTTTACAGATGAAGAAAATGAGGCTTAGCAAGCCTGACAAGACCTAGAGCTAGGCCATCCGATCCCAAGTCTAGTGTCTGCATCTGGAGACAGTGGTTCTCCACCTGGCTGCACACTCAGACCACCCGGGGAGCGGAACACTGCTGTCTGAGTCCCGTCTCAGACCAACTGAACCAGAATCCAGCTCCTCAGGGGGATTCTCACTTGTTCCAAGCAGACCTGGAGGTGAGAGCGGGTTTCTCTGCTTACCAGTTGGGGTGGACTATTCCTTCTCATTCTCGATGGGTGCCCCTCTCCAGGGCAGGCTCATAGCATAGGGTGGCAGAGGTTGGGCAGCAGGACGTCCTCCAGTCACATCCCCACTGCAGGCTGGGGCTAAGGAAAAGGTCTGGACTGGAAAGTTCTGCTCTTCCTTCTTGAGTATCTGCATGCCATGTCAGAGAGGAATCCCAGGACACCCCAAGGTGGTCTTGCTCACTGTTCAGCTTTTGCCACCCTCATCTTAGTTCTTTTCCCTTCTATCCTCACCTCCCTTCTGCCCAGTTCCCCTCACTCCAAACGAGTAATTATGGCTATGGCTACTCCATTCTTTTTTTTTTGGCCGGGATGTTTTTAGTCCTTTACAAGTCAGTAACAATCCCTCTTTCTTTCTCCTTTTTCACCCCAAGGGTGGCCTACTCTCCAGGCTGCTGAGAATCTTCCTTTTCTTCATTTAAGCTTTATCTTGAACATCCTTCCATATCAATTCATTATTTTTTATAGCTGCATGTCCCCCAGCACAGATTTTTTTTTTTTTTAAACACACCCTGAAAGTCCAGGGCTTACCGCTTGGGTCCAAATCAAATTATCTTCTACTCTGATTCACCCATCTCTGCTGCCTGCCCCATGGACGTCGTGCCACAGAGTCTGGAGGCTGTGGTCTCTTCTTACTGGGAGTTAGGTCTCCACCCTATGTCCGATGTTAACGTAGGAGCCTTGGCTTGTGCCTCCTCTCTGGAGATGAGGAGGCCAAACCAGATCCCGTAGCTGAAGGTCCTTACCAAACAGGTGCTGCCATGCGGGCACTTAGGTGAGCACAAGAAGCCTCGTTCTAGAACAGTGAGTCCCAGCCTGCTCGCTGAGCCATCCAGCCCAGACGCCGCCGCCTTCTTCCCTCCACAGCTGCAGGCTTATTTGCTTCTGTCTCTGAAGAGGTGAGGTAAGGTGTTGTTCTTGGAGGAAGAAGCTAGGAGTGTGGAGTAAGACCTGGATGTAGAAACTGCTGCTGGAGGACAGGGGCTGTGGTGGGTGGAGGTGGTGAGGGGGCAGTGGCACCTGGACGGAGCAGACACACCTGAGCCTGCATGGGGTGTGGTTGCCCTGCTGGCTGGCACTGAGGACCCTCCGGCAGTTGCCACATAGAAGAGAGACCTGTGCCCTCAGATTCAGACGGCCTGAGCTTGTCCCCCCAGTTTCTTGCTGGGAGATCTCTGTGAGTCATTTAACTTCGAGGAGATGTGGGTTCCTCGTGTGTGAAATGGGAATAAAAACAAATCCCTGCAGACTTGCTGGGGGCATTAAATGAGATAGTAGAGGCGGAGTCGTTTTTATAAATGGTAAAAACACTGTACAATTTATCAGTTGGTCATTAACTTCTGTGCATTGAATTAAGGCATTGAAATGACCTCACTTCCGTTTCAGACTAGCCATGAGAAGCGCAGTCACTAGTTCACTCTGAGCCTCAGTTTCCCCTCCTGTGGAGTGGACGTGCCTGCCTCTGAGTGGCAGGGCAGGGATCGGGACTGATGCGGTTCTCATCCCTCCCACAGGGTCTCCAGCCACCTGCCCTTCCCGAGAGGAGAGAGCTCTGGGCCTTCTTCCTGCCAGTCTGGTCTTCGAGTGCCTTCAGGACAGATAGACCTTGGCACAGGCTGTCCTGAGATTCCTGCGATGCCTGTCTGTTCCTGCCTTCTGTGGAGCATGGCACCCACAGGATTCCAGGACGGATCGTAGACCCGAGCCTCCAGGAGGGTGCCCTGTGCTGCTCACTGCACAGTCCCTCTCAGCTCCCCTGCCACCCAGCCTCCAAGGCCGGCGGCTCCCATCCCGGAAATGCCCTCGGGCACCTGGATGAGGCCATCCCAGAGCGGGACCCAACTGTGCCACCCACCAACCCTCCCCCTGTGTCCCCCGCCCGCTCGCATGTCCTGCTGCCAGGGCAGACTGTAGAATGTCTGTGCCCCAGATCCACGTGGAAGAAGTGGGTGCAGAAGAGGGGGCAGGAGCAGCTGCACCACCCGATGACCACCTCCGGAGCCTGAAGGCCCTCACCGAGAAACTGAGGCTGGAGACCCGCAGGCCCTCCTACCTGGAATGGCAGGCCAGGCTGGAGGAGCAGACCTGGCCCTTCCCGAGGCCGGCTGCGGAGCCACAGGCGAGCTTGGAGGAGGGGGAGCGTGGGGGGCAGGAGCCCTTGCTCCCGCTGAGAGAAGCCGGGCAGCACGCCCCTCCTGCCAGGAGTGCCAGCCGGGGCACCACACCCCTGTCCACTGGCAAGCTGGAAGGCTTTCAGAGCATCGATGAAGCTATAGCCTGGCTCAGGAAGGAACTGGTGAGTGGCTGCCCCCGAGAATCCCTGGAAAAGAGAAGATGCCACTGTCTGTCTGTCTGTCTCTCTTTCTCCGTCTGTCTATGTCTGTCTCCCCACCCCCACCATGTATTTCCTCCCCTCTCTACCCATCAAGTGCACATCTGGAATGTTCCCATGAGTTGAGGGCAGGCCTCATTTGTATGTGGTTGGGGGGACCCAGGTGTCATCAGCCCCTAATTGCAGACACTAATGGAGGAAGCAGGTGTTTTCTGGGAGAACTTGAACCCATGTTAAGGTGTCCCCCTCTCCCCCCAACACTGCTCCCAGTACTGGAGTCTCAAACACTTCTCCCTGGACTGTGAAGGGGGCTCCTGGGGTGTGACTGCCCCTCCCTCTGCGCTGGAACCTCCCCACCCTGCTGTCCACCCCAGCTGCCTGCCACTCCGGGGACCACCCATTCTGCAGATGGGCGGCCTCTCCCTGTGCTGGGCGCTGGCTGGGTGGCTCCATGAGGCACAGTGGCTGGGGTGTGGCTGTGCGGGGCACTCCTGTAAGGAGCTGGCTCGGCGTGGAATGTGCTCCAGTGGTAAGGAGTGGGGGAGCCATCCAGAGCCTTCGGGATGGGTCCTGCCTGGTGAGAAGCTCGGTGAGGAGGCTCAGAGGAGGAGTTGGCTCAGAAGTCAGGGCGGGCCCCGGTGCAAGCGAAAGGCACATTGTGTTTGAGCTGGGACCGCAGCAGTCACTTTCCTGCCCATAGGCAAAGCAGATTTCCAATAGGAGCATCTTTTGTGCATGGTGACTCAGCCTGAGAACAGGGTGGGGGTGCAGAGCTGGGTGCCCTGTCCCCTCCCACCCCCCAGGGGAGAATCACCTGTGTCTGGCATGACAGCCTCTCAGCAGTACCAGACATGAAGCTAACCCTCCCCCAGCTCTCAAGCCCTGCCTCATCCCATCCCCTGAGGCCCAGGTGACACCTGCGAGTCAGGCCACTCTGGCCACAGGTGAGCCGGCCATCAGGGGCAGCTGCCTTCCAGAGCCTGCAGGGTAGGCTGAGGCCTGCTTGGTTTGTTTTGCAGAATCCTGAAAACTAAATCCCCATGAGACCTGGAATGCCTCAGGGGCTGAGAAAATTCACTGGGGTTTGGAGTGGGGCGGGGCTCAGGGACACAGGGATCTGATTGATTAATTGGAAACCTGTTTGGGTTTTAACACTTGATGCCTAAAGTGCTTCTCAGAATACACCATTCTGTTATGTCCGTCTCTAGTAATGAGATGGTGCACATGCTGTCGGCTTCGGAGAAGATGAGGCACCTGCGGATTTGAGCCACATCTCTGGGGTGCTCTGTCACCCCCGGTGCTCTTGGTGGGAGGTATAAGAGGTGAGGGAAGATGGACAGTGCCCCAGGACAGACCGCTCACAGCCCCCAGCTGCTCTTTGAATGGCTGAGGCTAACCCGCTTTGATTTGCTTTCTTAAGGAGGAACAAAAAACATTCCTGTTCATCAAAGATACAATTTGTTGGTTTCAAGTTCATTTGAGATTTTATTGCTTGTGGGAGCTGAGGCTTTTACTTTTTAAGGAAGTTAGCATTCCGCATAGCACCCAGTAGGATGGAGCTTCCTAGAACTTGTCCTGCTCATCATCCTTTAGTCCCCTCACTCTGGCTGTGTATTAGAACCACCTGGGGAGCTTTTAGGACTCCCAGAGCCTAGGCCACACCGAAGACCAATCCAGTGAATGTCTGGGGGCAATAACCACACATTTGATTTTTAAAGCTCCTGCGTGCTTCTAATGTGCAGCCTGGGCCTTGAATCTACAAGTCATTCTCACATCTCCTGCCAGGCCTGTGAGCCAAGCAGCATGAGGTGCCCTGCCCAGTGTGCTGGCCAAGCGAGGAGGGTGGCCCAGGGTGAGGCGCAACCATGGGTGATGTGTAGAGCCAGTCTCAATAGGCCAACAGCAGAGCAGAAATTATCAGGACTAATCTGACTACCAAAGACTGTCATACATAGGGTAAAGGGAATATTAGCATTATTAAAAATGCTTTATATTTGCACTGTTTCCACTCCTCTAGCCACTTCCCTGTGCCACCAAGGGTGCGTCCTGTGTGCCAGGCAGTTTGCAGGCATTACTCACCTCTTCTAATTGTCGGATGACCTTCCCGACACCCCTACTTTTCCAGAAGAGGAAACAGGTTCAGAGAAGAATGCAGTCATACGTGAGAAAGTTGAAATTTAAACCCTGGCCCATTTGGTCGCATTGCTATTGCTCTGCTCAGCCACCATATGACATGGCATCCTCCACAGGCAATCGATTTTACTGTTTGATTCCTAAAATGTAAATCACAAAAATGTCAGCAGGCAACAGAATGCATGGGGGCAGGGGCAGAGAGAGAAACAGGATTGAATGAGTTCCAGCCTCATTCTGTGATCTCCGATTCTTACAACAAAACTGCGTGATTGCCCTCACTGTTTCCATTTTATGGATGAATAAACTGAGGTCCACAGAAGTCAGGTGACTTGATTAGGATGACATGATGAGCGAGCGACAGAGCTGGGGCTGGAACTCATACAGAGTAGAGAGCGATGGGGAGAGAGGTAGCAGGTGAGGCTGGTGAGGTGGTCCAACACAGAAGGTTCCATTGAGCATGCACAAAGAGCAGCGACCAAGGAGATGCTCCAGAAACCATACTGGTTGCAGGATAGAGAATCTCTCGGAGCATTGACTCCCAAACTCTAACGTGCCTGTAGGTCACTGGGGCTCTTGTGCAGATGAAGATTCTGGTCCCTTTGGTTGGGAACGGAGCCTGTGCTTTCAAATTTCCAACAAGCTCTAAGTTGAAACTATTCTGCTAATGCCTGGGCCACACTTAGAGTATCAGGGAATGAAAGGAGGGCAAGACCAGGGCCAGGGGATCAATAACGAACCTCAGAGGACAGACCCAGGGATCCCCAAAAGGGAGCTCTCTGAGCCCTGTCTCTGTCATAGCTACCCATGTGGCTTGGGGCTCCATCGGTGAATGGGCCTCAGTGAACGAACTCACAGCATCGCACTCTGAGTGGTCCAAGAACCACACTCGTTCAGAAGATTGCAACTCTGAGGCCCAAAGCAGACACAGACTGGCAGACCAGACACAGACTGGCAGGCAGGCAGAGTGGACGTGCAGTTCCGCCTGCTGCCAGGATTAGACAGCAACTTGCAAAACCCTTTGATTGGATTGAAAACTGAGAGTTCAACGTTTGAGAACAAACACATTCTGCTCTATTTAAGTCTCAGTCAAAACGTTAAGCTTAATGCCATGGTTTCCCTCGTTCATCGTCTTCACTCATTGAAGGCACCTTTAAAAATTAACCTGTTCTTTAACTCAGAAAAAGTGATTTGCATAACCTTTTTTGTTGTATTTTAAGCCCAGAAGCAGGTTTTCTCTACGCCTGGGCAAGCCCTTCCTACAGATTTGTTAGGCTCAAGGGCAAATGTGTTGTTTGTTCTCACGTGGCCAAGGAAATCGATTGGAAATCTGCAATTCCCTTAGTCGTGTGGATATTTTCCATAACTCAATGGGAGTTTTGACCACAGGAGAAGGCAGACTCTAACCTGTCCTCTGACCACCTAGCAGCTCTCCCAGGAGGCAGTGGTCAATGTCACCCCATCCAGAGGCAGGCAGTGCTGGGTCTGGAAGCATCGTCTTAGTCTGCTCCCGCCTCCTGCAAGACCGGCTAAAAGGCAGAATGACTCTCTGACCGTGGCTGATTTCTGAGGCTGGGAAGGATCCTAACAGCTCTCAGGGGTCAGCTCTCCCTCTCAGCTTTCAAGGAAATGACTGTCACTCCTGACGCCCCCCAGGGACCGGCAAGTAGATCAGATTTTCCTTCAGGCTAATGTGTTCGGGATACAAGGCTGGTGGAGATCCCCCAAGCCTCTTAGAGCGACTCCCAGCTAAGACAGCCTGACCTTGGGCTCCCTGGGTGGAGTTGGAGATGTGTGGCTCTCTGGCTGTGGCAGGCAGGCCTGCGGCCACCTGACTCCTCCAGGTAAGGCCCAGTCTCTCCGCTTCTGGGACACTGGCTCAAGGGAGTTGCCATTGTGCAGCTGCAGTTCTAGGCTGCTCAGGTCACCAGAAGGTCACAGCCCCCAGCTTTCACCTTCCAGGCAGCCAAGTAGCCTGGTTGGGAGTTGGGGGAGGGCATTGCTTTGGGAAGCAGGGGAGCTAGAAAGAGCATGACCTGGAGCTGTGGGATTTTCTCCTCTCTAGCTGAGTCGGGAATTTAGAGCATTCGCACACGCCTCTGCCCGGGCTTGGGTCCATCAGCCAACTCCCTGGGATGGAGCCCTGGGCACTCAGCACAGGGGAGCAGGGACCTTCCTTTCTGTTTTCTCTCTTCAGTCACACCCACAAGTTCCCCTTGCCAACCTGGAAGACAGAGAAAAAGGGCAATAAAGTCTTCTGCATGGTTTATGCAGTGCCAGAATGAAGACCAAAACATTCTGGCTTCCTGATGGGCAGTTTGCAGTGAGAAGCCCTGGGTGCCAACTGATATTTTTCTTTGAGTTTCACACAGTGTGTGATCCCTGCAGACACCCTCCTCCTGCCGCCCCCCCTCCCCCACCCGGGCACCAAGAAGGTGTTTATGGCTGTTAGAAAAAGGGAGGAGAACCTTGACAAGTTTTCATCACTTAGGGCCTGTCACTTAGGTCACAGGAGGCCTGTGACCTAAACTCAGCTGGCCCCCCGTGGCCACCGCTTGGCTTCGAGGGGGCCGCCCTTTCCCCGTTAACCCTCTGTTGCCCGTGCTGCGTGCTTGGTATGCAAAAGAGTGGTATGTCCAGGGACAGCCTCTGAGGCTGGTGTCATCCATGTGTGCTAAGCAGTACGGCCAAATGGCAGGTCATTCTCACCAAGCATCTTTTGATGGGAAATGGGCGATGCAGCCAGGTTGATACCCCCCATCTAGGGAGACTTCCATATACACTATCCTTCGGGAAGGCTTGGAAGTATTTGCTATTCCCATCTTACAGAGGAA